GCCAGTGTCCAGTGCTCCCTCTACGACAGCACCAGTGTCCACTGCCTCCTCTGCAACCACAAGACCAGTGACCACTGCTTCCTTTACTCCTAATATAGCTACATCTACCACTTCTGCTGCACTTCCTAGTGAGTTAATTTCTGGACCTATCTGTGAATGAGGCAGCTGTGTCTAGTGTTAATATCAAAGAAGTGAATTGTTTGAAATGAAATGATTGATGTCATATGCATATAGTGCATGTAATTTGTAGATTTATAAATTTTGTAGATGTGCCAGTGGCCATACACCCTGCAACTCACAACTGGCTAGCCACTGAAGGTGTGAGCCTGGTCAGCATATGAATGGGAAACACAAGGTTGCTGCTGGAAGAGGTATTTGAGGAGCAAATAGGGGACACTCACATTGAAGTCTACGTGGGTCTTGATGGCCTAGTATAGTGATGGGGACACTTTACTGCAAAAAGGCACCGTCCTTCGTATGAGACATAAAACCAAGGGTGTTTCTTGAAAATTATAGGGGTGTTACCCTGGCATCCTGGCCAAATATCCCCCCTGTCTTTACCAGTCATGGCTTCACAATAATCGCCATCTCTAAACTGGCTTCATCACTCTGTTCTCCTCCCCACTGAGAGCTGGTGTGTGGGGAGAGTTCTGGCACACTATGGCTGTCGTTGCATCTATGGGGAAAACTTCACACTGGTGGTGGTGGAAGGGAGTTCCCATTACCTGTACAATGAATTCAGTGGAGTTGCAAGAAAAGTGCTATATCAGTGTAAAGGATTATTATGAAGACATTCACTAGTAAGGCATTCAATGTCTGACCCCTAAAATTGAATACTTCTAGATCTAAAGAATGATTTGAGAAAATAACAACATATACTGATTGATTATTCACACCCCTCATTCACACTCAGTGTTATGTGGAAGCCCCTTTGGCATACATACATAAATGAAATGTTTGTAATATGTATCATCAATCATCCACTGCATTCTAGGTCTGGCCTTGTGCTTTGGGTAATTACTTTACTAATTACTAGGTTTTCTTTTAAGCTTTGCCAGTATTTTACTTCATCTCTGTTGCTATCAGTCTCAAAAACCTTCCCAGTCCCTGCTGGGACTGATAAGAAGCAGAATTCTGTCATACAGCGGCCACCACTGGGCTAGACAGTAGGGTTGAATTGTGCTCTGTGATGAATCAGTTGATCAGGTAGATCTTTTGTTACCAACTCCTTGGGTGATGTGAGATAGGTTTTCCTCTGCTATACAGGCCAGATTGGTAAAGTGACAAATACAGCAGGGTCTCATAAACAGGAAATTTTAATTAATGATTTTGCTTATCTGTGATTCAGTCTCACCAGTATTCTGTTCTACGGCAAAAGAGTTGTTTATTTAAATGTTAAGACCCAGAGCCGAGAGGTGCTAACTGCAACTTTCAACATAGAGGCCCAACAGACTAGGACCGCGAGATGAATCGAGCTTCTCCCTGGCCCCTGCCTCATTACCCACTACCCAGCACCTCTATCTCAGCTGTCTGGTCTTTCTTCCAGTTCTCCCTGGACGTCTGGAACACCCACTGCTGTCTCCTGCCCTCTTTCACTCTTCTGCTTTCCAGGTTATGACTGCAGCTCTGTTGTATCTCTGGGCCCATCGTTGCCCTGGAAGACTGAACATTGTCATAAGGATTCACGGATTTCCTGGGTTTGCCACTCTGACTCTTCATCCTCTTCACCTGATCCCATCTAATGATCTATTAGCACATAAACCTAAATTATTTTCTCTTTAATTTATATTCCTGAGGCACCTCTCTTGCAATGCTTCCTCGTGATTCTTCTCCCTCCGTCCCTGGCAGTACTGTCCCATCACAGTCTGTTCCCTCATTCCAAGATCTTTCTTCTGCCCTGGCACCCTGGACTCTTCGCCCCTGGGCCCAGAAGCTGAAAGAGAGCTAGAGGACTGGCATTAGTGAAACCATTCTAGGCAGATATGTCCCCTGGTTGTTCCAAGGGGGGCACTTGGTATGCCTACTGCACCCAGATTAATTCTGTCAGGGTTTCCTTGGTTGACAGCAAATAACCAGGCAGGTCTTAGGAAGAGATCCCCCACTAGGGCATTTGCCTTGAATCTACCAGCTTCTGGGTCCACCGACTGCACCTGTTTGTTGGAGTTCCATGACCCAACATCGCTGATCTGACCCCTCCATTCAGTGAGCCTTGAGGGTGTAGCACAGCTGTGGATCCTTCCCCTCCAGTGTGTCAATCTGTCAGTCTGTATGCATGCACCCCAGGCTAATCAGGTGGCCTGTCCCCTGGACCTTGTGACTCCCTTTTATTCATGAACCTAACCATAGGGAACTGCTATAAAACTGAGAGAGCAACACCCCAAATGGCCTGACTGCTTGATTTAGGTCAGTCCCTGCCAGCCCTTCTCTTCCCCACCTGTGATGCAGTGGGCCTGCATCCCTCAAGACCATTGTGTCCGTTCCCCTCTTCTCTTCTTCCTCACCTGCCAGGGCTGCTCAGCTCCACCACCCCATGTTGTCTATTTCTTTAATACCCCTGAAACATGAATACAGTCATGTTGTCACAGCTCAGTCTGCTCTCTCCTTCCGAAATCTTGGTGTCCAGCTGGAGGGGTGTTGGCCCTCGCCAAGTTTCAACCTGCTAATGAAGCAGATATTTCTTTGTCTTTTGGGGATTCAGCTTTGAATCTGTTCTTATGCATTCAGTTCCAGCAATTAAGTCTTGAGTAAGTTTATACATGATGGTTGAACTGCCTCCAGTTCACTGACTTGAGCCGACCATCACCTGCATCACAAGTGCTTCTCCCTCCCTTGCTTATCCATCAGTGTTCCACTGAAACACTACGTGTCTGTATCTACCACTTCAAATAAATCTCACTCCCGCATCATTCACACTTAATATTCACTCCACTCATTCATTCTGAACTTTAAAAGGGCTGTCCTCAGTTAGCTGTCCTCATTTCCTCAGTTAGGCCAGTTAACACCAAATTCAAATTATAAGGTAGCTTTATATCTACCAGCTTATTTTGTCATAATCAGAATTACAGTTCTGGAAAAGGTGTTGTTTAACAACAGAAGATCAAGTATAATAAATACAGCTTTGCCGATTGATGAACAAATAAGAAATATTAATCCCTACTTCCAAGTGCCATAAACTGCAAGCTTTGGAGCAATGCATTGAAAATTAAAGCTGTACAAGATCTGAATACCTTTGTAAGGCACTGTACTCACCTAATTGGGTCTGTTTCAGTCAAAGTATTTTGCTGAGCTCAATTATATCCCAGTCTGCAATTTTACAAACTCACTGTAATCCCTTCCTCCGCTCTAATGGGTCCATTTGTCTTGCTAATTGGGCTCCCTAAGCCAGAATGTTTTTATCTTTATTTGGAATATGATTTCCCTGTGTCTTCTACACTGATTTGTAAGTGAATGTAAAAATCATGTTGTGCAGGGCTGCATGTGGGAAATGTGTCCAGTCCTCCAGGTGACTCTGCTGTCCCACTGTCTCTTTCAGTACAAGCCTGTGGGAGGCCCAAACTCAACACACCCCTCCTTGCTGGTCAGCCAGCTGCAGAGGGGTCCTGGCCATGGATGGCCAGCCTGCAGAGGAATGGAAGTCATGTGTGTGGAGGGAC